ATTAAAAAAATCCCGATATATATTAGTGTATTTTAATAAAGGACGAATAACTTTGTTTTATTGATTACTTTTTCATATATTTTTATGGATTTCGGAGAGGGAAAGAGTCATATATTACCTTTCTCAAGCGTTATTTTTAAATATTTTGCCAGCAAAATAAGATAATAATAAATTAATTTATTTTATAATTTAAAAAAAAATTGATTATAAAAAAATTATTTTATAATACTTCTCTAACCATTCGTGTTATTGCATTTTATGCAGTTCTTTACGAGCTTAAAGAATTGATGTACTTTAATGAAAATAAGTTATAAAAAGACGAAAAGATTTAAAATAAACAAAGGAAACGTGTTCCAATTCTTGATATAAGGGATTAATATAACTCTAACTTTCTAAAGGTGCAACAATACATTACATACTATCTACAAAAAAAAACTGTTAAAATACTTTGTATTAGTGCTTTAAATAAATAAAATTAATTAAATTAAATTAATATAAGAATTACGAGCCAGTCTTCATACACTGACTAATTTCACATCCATGACTTTAATCATTCTCATTTGTGGTAAAATATCTTTATCATCTAAACTATCATCTAAATTTTACATCAAAATGTAATAAATTTTAAAGATTTGTTCTCACAATCTCAATAATTGAATTCGCTGATTGAAACAACAAAATTTAAATTTAAATTGTTTATTTAAATTATGTTGTTTCTATCATCATTATCGCGTGATTAAATTTACAAAATACGAAAGTTTATAGTTTATACAACAAGATAATTAGAAATTATATAAATTTATAAATCTATTGTTTAAACATAATGTTAATGAAATTTGTTATATTTATTGTTACAAATTTTTTTTCCTCCCTCTTCTTATAATCTTTCCTTTGTTTTCCTCACGTTATTAGTGATAATGATAATTCTTTTTCCTTTAGTTACGATCTTTTTTATAAAATATCCTCTTCTTTTATAGTGAAAATAAATCTATAGTAAGTATAAACAACTTAGAATCTTCTATGATCCATACTTTCATAAAAGAGAAATCATTTTATGACTTTTTCAAACCTTCCCTACCTTTTTTTAACAATATCCATTCAAGAAGAGGTTGCGACCCTATGAAAAAAGTAGCATATGAATCGAAAATTCATCGATTAGTTTCATATGGTTCTAAAGATAGCTGGCACCTCACCCTTATTTATTATCCGTGCTTTAAAACTGTTTTAAACAGGAAACTATTCTGAATTTTCTTCTCTAATGTGTCACCTCCGAAACAACGATCCTCTTTTTTCCACTTTACGACATACTTGCGTTTAGAGCTGGACCAGTAGCATCGGCTTTTGGATTATTTACTAGAGTTAATGGTCATAAAACACCTCTAGCTTCTTTCTCTTAAAATTAGTATTAACATTTGTTACGATTTCTATTCCTACATTTATTATAGATAGAATTTTTTCCTGTTTTTTTTTCTAGAGCAGAAAACAGAAAACGTCTACCATATAAAAGCTAAATAATAAACATCGTCACAATGCCGGGCTGCAATTTTTAATCATATTTTTAGTTTATTTAATTTAAAATATATGCTCTCNCCTTACAAAAAATATCATGAATTTTTATTACATGTTTTTAATATATATATATATATAATTTTTCTTTGCCTGTTAACTTATATACATATTTTTCTTGTTACAAATACTTGTAACAAGTAAATTGTTACGAAATAATTAAGCTACTTTGCGTGTTAAAAAAACAACAGCAGCGATAACACCATTTTAGATAGCTAAGCGCCATGCAACAAGTTTATTGGCCCATTAAGCATACTAAATTTTAGAGCATTAAAATCGCCCCAATAATTTAAACCAGTGATTCTTAACCTTTTTTTTATTGCCTTCCCTATTTGAATTTTTAAATGTGCTCTTACATTCCCATTAAAAATTCGTTCCTTTGCTTTTTATTTAATGGGTGGTTCGTTCTATTCATTTAAAGGAATTTATTTTAGCTTAATATTAGGTTATAAGGGATAACCTATTAACCTAACCTTAGGTTATTAGATTAACTTTGTAATCTAACCTTAATTATTAGGCTAACTTTAAGAGAAGGGACTAAGAAAAATTCCCTTTAACAAAACTCAAGTAGATATAAAATTAATAAAGGGGTGTACAGAATGTACAGTGTTCAAACGTCTCCATATATAAGTAAAGTCACAGAATATTAGCTATGTGGGTTTCATTTAATCGAATGTACATGTAAATACTCCCCCATTCGTGGCAAATGCACGTTAACACCTCTGATACGTGTACTCGTATACGTGTGAACACGAGTCACAAGTGTGTACCTTCAGATGTCTGCTTCGTATAGAGACTTTAGAATCATTCTGTATTAAGATAAATAATGATCGTTTTTCAAGAAAACCGTCATTAAAATACCTATAACTTTATTTTTATTACTAATTAAATGTTGTATATATATTTTATACATCTGTAATACAAAGTCTTGAACCTCTGGGATACTGTAAGTGTACTATTACTCCATGTTAAGAGCCATTGATTTAAATAAAAATAGATAAGTTTTTTTTATATATGTAGATAAGAAAGAAATCGTTTTTAAAAATTCGAGATACAAATTTATAAATGGATGGTATTCTTAGAATGGTTTCCGGATAGTGAATTCATCTTTTAAAAATAGATCCGAACGATAAGAAAATAACAGTTCAATATAACACAGACGTTGAATCGAGAAGGAAGTTCAAGTCATACAAAATAAAAGGTGAAATACTTTAAGAAAGAATTCACTAGGAATAAATAGAGCTGGACAGCATCTTTTTTCTTTCTTTTCTTTTTATCATTCGTAGAAAAGAGAAGTTTAACTTTTTTTCACTATTTATATTGAATTACAAACTTTTTGATAGTGAAGAATGAGTCGGGAGAATGGTGTATTTTACCAAAACTACAGTAATATTGAGCAATAAAAACGATAGCAAAAAACCCTTCATTTATTTACTTTCGATCTAAAGTAAAAATATAAAAAAAACAATAAGTTTTTAAAATTTACTTTTAGAAAGTTTCATTTACCTGTAGGAGAAAAAAAGCAAGTACTACCAGCATCACTTTGAGCATTTTGGTCTGGTATTCTTGGTATTCCTTCATTTACATGATATGCTAAATATAAAAAATTTACATATTAAAGTTCATTATCATCATCCTAATAAATATTAGCTAAGTTTTAAGTTAAGAAGTAAGTTGATGCAGTTATAAATTATTTATATAAAATTATTTTAATATCAAACACTGACATATATAGCAGAGTCCTGGAAATTCAACTCAATAACTTGACATTCCATAAAGTTTGTGTCATTCAAAATAAAAAAAAAATACATGTAACCTAATTTTTACCTCTAATTTAACACTAAGTAAAATAAGTTATCATTCTTCAATGGCAACACTTTTGATAATAGCATCAATTCCATGTGCTAACAAAAAGCATACATAACCCTTTTACCAAGATGCCACTTCAAAATGCCATGATGAAAATGTCACTAACTCTAAAGTAGCCACTGAATAGTTAATATTTTTTAAATTAAAATTTAACTACAAATAGAAATAGTCGCTATTGGTATGTAGTTAATATGTATACAAATTTGAATATATAATATCTTTACAAAAATTCAGTCACTTAGAGTAGCATAATTGATACGCCATATAAAACTTGTCGTTTTCAATAACTAATCACTTTCTCAGTCCACATTAAGTCAAATTTGCAGAAGTCTACTGTACTAGTAATTTTTCTACATTTCTTAAAATGAGTAATGTGCAAAGGTTAAATACCTTAAAAATTTTCATATATTTTTTCTATAACCAAAAATTATTTAACATTGTTATATTAAATAAAGCTAAAACATTAATAAATCTACCATGATTAAGATAGCAAATCAAATTTGATGTAAAAAATGTTACAGCTTCTTTCCCTGAAACAATGTTTTTAAAATAGTAAAAACTATAAATTTTTCTTAAGTTATTCATTCATTCATTCATTCAACAAGCACCATAATACAGTAATAATGAAAATAAACTTAAAACAGTTACCACAACAGCATTTGTGGTAAAAGTTCAAAGGCCATATTACAAAGACGATTTACCAGTCAATTTAAAGTGTGGAAAAATATTTGGTATTCTCACATTTATGATATTAACAGCATTNTTAATGATTATAATGTGCTAATATTCATTTATAATTATGTTTTAGCTATAATTTTAAGAGTTATTCTTTGTTTTACAACGTAAACAATTTTTACAGTAATTATTTAATTCTATTTTTATTTAATAAATATAAAATTAATTTAAAACAAACTATTACTAAAAATTTATTATATTTTATCTATTAAACTCACCAAGAGACTCTTTTGTACAACCTCTATAGATAAGAGAGTCGCGTACTAACCATATACATTACAGTATTAAAAATGTATTTTTATAATTTATTATCTTTTCAAGTATTTAAAATGTTTTCAGAAATGTCTTTAAATAAAATTTTTAAAAGAGTACACCATTAATATTGTAAAATATATAAAATCTAACAGAAAAGCAATGCGAAAAGCTCTCAGCTAGACAACATAAATTAAGTATTAAATATGGGTAAAAATATAAATATTTAATTTATAACTAAGCAAAAATCTAGCTACAATATTTTATAATTAGTTTAAGTAATTCTTATCACTTCAAATAAATAAATAAATTATTTATTTTTGAATGATAAATATTCCATTTTGGTCAATTTTTCCCAAGAAATAGAATTTTAAAAATGGTTTCGTCTTCAAAAACTATTTATAAATTCAAACAAAAACAATTTATGTTGAAAGTTATCATGATAAACATTTAATATTTCATACTGAGTTTAGTCGAGCGACTTATGGAAATATGCTACGATTATTTCATTTGCATTCGCTGCTTCTGCTATCTTCCTTGCAAAACACTTGATGCCAGCAGCTTGCTCTCGCTATATATATATATTTTGTTTTTTTTGGGAATATGTACAAAAGAAACCAAATAAAGGTGATGGTTTTATTTAATATAGGACGGGTTGAGGTGGTGGTCCATAAGGATGGCTTCGAATGCTGCTTCTACTCAGAGGACGGCTGGTAACGCCGCTGATACTTTTGCTTCTTCCTCCACGTCCAACTGTGGAGCTCCAATGCTCATCTAAACGCAAATAAATGATTCAGAAAGGTTAAGGCTCCATAGTTTTCAATACAAAAAGATTTTTTTTTCTAGTGCTTTATAACTTTAGAAAATCCGAGAAAAATACTTCAACTTTATGGCAGAATAATCCAACGGATTTTCTGATAGATAAGTTTGAAGGATTTTGTGCATAAAAATGAAGTAATGTGAATGTTAAATGTGCAGCAGATACTTTAAATAATCATTTAACAAACGTGAACAGTGAAGGGTATTTATAGGATGGAACATTAGTAAATAATAATAACTTCGAATAATAGCACAAAAATACAAAAAAAAACTAAAATTTCTTTTAAATGTAAAAGTATTATTTTCATTCAAACAAAATATTGAATTTTAATTAAGGAGGTTTGATTAAAAATAAAATAAAAATAACAGGCATTCTATTGGTTTCTTTCCCGTCAATTAAATTTTTATCTTAACAACAATTGGTTGATTTGTACGATCGTAAGTACGCCTCCAACCAATCGCTTTGATATTAATCACGTCTTTAACCAATTATCGTGCAAATAAACAAATTATTTCAAACACTTGATATCTTACATAAATTACAGAGGACTTCCTATATTTATTTTTTAAATTTCTCAATATTATTTTACCGTATTTATTTCTTTATAACGTATAATTCCTTTTGTTTTAACATAAAATAAAACAAAATACTGAATAGATTTTTAAATACATAACGTATACATCGCATAATTTATACATTTTATCAAAATTCAGTATCAACATAAAGAACATAAACAATAAATAACTACCGATTTGCATTACATATTCATATATACATTGTAATTTTCGAAATTAATTAGGGTGAATGGTGATAATAAGGGCTTTATATTAAAACGCGTTTTAATTATTATATTATTTATTATTTAGAAAGTTAATTAAATTTTAAATTAGGTTTATTCGTTAACTTAGAAATTAATTAAAACACAAAGTACTTACGAATATATTCAGGTTCTGTATATCCATTGCCTTCATATTCATCAGGGTATGCATCAAGATAGTTTTCATTACTGATATCAGAAAACAAAGTCCTATTTAGTCGTTTTATAATTTTTAAATTTTAAGAAATAATTTTTAATAATATTTTTTTATCGTTTCGAAACATATAGCCTATTGTAATTAGTATTCTTTTTAAATTGAAAAATCTATTTAAGGCTCTGAATTATTGAATAAAACTTCAATTTAATATAATGTTTATCGCATTTTCTATCGATGCGTATCAAAACGCGGCGCGTTACGCGCTTATTATTGTGTGTTTCAACGCGTAGTAACGCATACAGATACACTTAATCAATTTATTATGATTTAAATTAATTAAAATGACTTGCCTTAATTCTTCATATACTTCAGTATATGCATGATCATTATAAGCATCTTCATACATCTAAAAAAATTATAAAATTGAATATATAAATTATTTAATTTTATAAAAATATAAAAAAAT